GAGAGAAGGAGGACCCTGGGAGGTCGGGTGGACTGGCCTTTGCCACTGGATCCTTCAACTCCTCTCCCCAACCCCAGTCTGCAGATGGGGAGCAAATAAAACAAGGTCCAGGTGGCAGATCGGAGTGAGCACGATCAGAACTCACGTCCTTCCTAGCAACCAAAGAAAAAAAATGCTAGTTGATCTTTTCAATTAAGTCAGCCCCATTTTGTGGCCTGTGCTCCAGTTCATGGCTTGAGGTAGTTCTACCCCTTACTTAAGGGAAGAAGAAAGTGGACCGGTGGGAGGCAGGGACCTCAGCTGGAGCTCTGACCCCCAGCCGCTGTCTGGCTGAGACATCTGACCTGTAGGCAACTTCAGACCAACATGTCAACCGTCTTGGGAACCTGAGCTTCACATTTATCCGTGCAGAGCAAACATTCCCCAAGCTCCGTGTGATGCTGGTGTCCCGCTAGTCTGATACCTCCCTGCCACGGGAGCCCCTGTCCCGAGAGAGATGCCAGCAGGCAGGTGTGGGCCCCTGTCACCAAGGAGCGTGTCCTCTGGGCTGAGTGTGGGTGGCCTGGGGCAGGGGGACCTGGGTTCTCCTTCCTCTGGAGCAGCTTTTCCTCACAGGAATGAGGATGGAATCAGGAGAGGCCAGGAGGTCATCTAAAATGGTAGATGCCCCCGGCCCCACCTCCCCCGGGGCCGGCAAGGTTGGGAATTGAGGTGACCATAAGGACCAACTCAGGTATCGAAGAATCTGTAGAATTGGATTATAAACAAGTGAGAATAGGTGACCCCAGGCCCATGGGACTGTCAGAGAAAACCCCAAAGTCACAGGCACGCGGTGGTGTCCCCGCTCCAACAAGGTGAGGTGTGGGGTTGGCCGCATGGGGATGTGACCAGTGCAGCCACACGGTCCCTGTACCCAGAGGGAGGCCCCAGAAGTGGGGTGGATTGCTGTGTCCACCCTCTTGGAATCCTGAATAGTTTTATGTCAGTGAGTCCAGTGGGTCATGGCAGCGTGTGCCAGGGGCTTGGAACTTGGCATCTCGACTCTGGGTCAGTATCCTCTGGCCACCTCCTGCTGCCTGAGGATGGGCTCTCGGCCGACTGTCCCTTGCCCCGCCCATAATGCTGCCCTCTCTGTCTTGGGAAGGGGCTGGCACGGTCTCCAGGAAGGTCAAGGTCAGTTGCAGGATCCAGCCAACTTTCCTCATGGGGCATCCATGTCCTCAAGCCCCAGGGCCCCTCTGAGGGTCTGCACTTACCCCAAGAAAACACATGTGCTCAACCAGGGGGGCAGACCTCACCCCACGACGGGTCAGAGAAGGAGCAGAGCTCTCTCTGCTTTGGGAACAAAAGGGGTCCCACATTCTCA